GTCGCCTTGGCCGAGTCTATTCGACAGCGTCCCCTCAATGAAGCCTGCGATTCAACTTCAAGTATCGGCCATCAGCCTGATCCTAATGCCCATTCGAGCAATGCTGACTCGACTTTCGCCCCTCCTTCGTAGTGTAGTGTTGTATTATTTTTTATTTTTGCCGTTTTCCGTGAATTTCTGTAATGTGTGAACTCTTCATGATCTCCTGATCTTCTTGAAATGAAAATGTTTTGGTTGATTTATTTCTATCTGTGATGATGCTTGTGATGACCTGATTCGATACACTTGTGCGACTTCTTAACGAGGTAACTTGAGTGAATTCATATGCCATTAATCTATTTTTTAACTTGTATATATCCACGTGGTTATAAATTTCGAACGCATGCCCACCCTCAAAGGAATGGTCGTTACATACGACCATCCAGTCTCATGGCCTTATTCATGATGGATTTTTATCTTTGAACACATGCCCACCCTCAAAGGGGTGGTCGTTACATGCGACCATCCAGTCTCATGGCCTTATTCATGATGGATTTTTATCTTTGAACACATGCCCACCCTCAAATGGGTGGTCGTTACATGCGACCATCCAGCCTCGTGGCCTTAATCATGATGGATTTTTCTTTCGAGCGCATGCCCACCCTCAAAGGAGTGGTCGTTACATACGACCATCCAGCCTCATGGTCTTATTCATGATGGATTTTTATCTTTGAACACATGCCCACCCTCAAAGGGGTGGTTGTTACATGCGACCATCCAGCCTCATGGCCTTATTCATGATGGATTTTTATCTTTGAACACATACCCACCCTCAAAGGGGTGGTCGTTACATGCGACCATCAAGCCTCATGGCCTTATTCATGATTGATTTTTATCTTTGACCACATGCCCACCCTCAAAGGGGTGGTCGTTACATGCGACCATCCCTTATTTTACAAGAGGTGAAGATATAAAGGGAGATCCAAAGGTGACGAATTATCCTTATTTGCATAACACGGACATGTCTGCTTCAAGAAGAGCCTCAATGATGTTGTCGTGCCGAATAGAACCAATATGTAATATACCTGAATTGTGGTTAGTGGATTAGCTGCTGAGAAAATACGGGCTAGTGATGGGAAACATGGGGAAAAAAAAACCTATTGTAATTTTCGGTCTGGATTGGTTATACCGCGTGGAAAATCCAATATCGAAACTTAACAGAAACATTGTCGGTAACCGTAATTCGAAAACTAATTTTTTTGATTTAATTGGTTAGATTTTTCTCTGTGTTGGTTTGGATTGATTGGCTTGTTGGAAAAAAATATCATTCCTAGATATAACGATCTAATTCACACACGATTTATGAGTGCACATACTACGTCCTATTAAAAATAATGTCTTTTATTTTTTGGTTCATTTGTTTAATCAAATTGTCACATCTAATGTTTGCCAATAGTATGTGTAGTGACATATAAGGCACATACACGTAGGGGTGTATTCGTTTGAAATTTTTAAAGATTTTTAGAGTTTCACAAATCCTTAAAACTTTTTAAAGTCTCGAGATATTCATTTTAGATTTTAAAAAGTCTTACAAAATTCTGAACAATTTAATGTATTTGAGACTGACATTTCTTAGAACTTTGTAAGATGCACGTAGAATTCAAAAGAACAAACCATATACGAAATTCAACTTCAAACTCACCTCCAGACTTAGGATTTCATAAGATTCTTCCTAAATCAAAAAATCTAAAAAAATCTCAACTCTCGAAGTCTTAAAATGTTACTCAAAATCTCTAACGAATACACCTTCATCATATCTATATCAATCAATATCGCTTGTCGGCCTGAATTTTAAGAATAAAAAAAAAAAATTGATAATAGAGCATCAAACAACCGTTGATTGATCAATGTACATTTATTAGTTTAGATTAGGTAGGAGAATTCATATCTAAACATCTTAGATATGCACTCTCTCCTCCTATTTTACGCCCATTTTTGTATGCACTTTCCTCACCATACTTGCATACATAATATAGCCTTTAATCTCAGCATCTTTAAAAGGCCAAAAAGGTCACCTAATTCACACACACACGCACGCACACGCATCCCATGGAGGAAAAGGGCCTTATCTACGATGTGAAGCTGTCGTCGATCGGGCCGGGCAATGTGACGGGCCCCGACTCGATCTTCGAGCCCGGGAGCATGGGCCTGGCCATGAAGCTCCACTACCTGAGGGGCGTGTACTACTTGGAGAGGCCTGCGTTCGAGGGACTGAGCACGCTGGAGATCAAGGAGCCCATGTTCACGTGGCTCAATCAGTACCCGCCCACGTGCGGCCGCTTCAGGAGGGCCGAATCGGGCCGGCCCTATGTCAAGTGCAACGACTGTGGCGTCAGGTTCGTCGAGGCCAAGTGCGGGCAGACCATGGCCGAGTGGCTCGAAGCCCAAGATCTCACGGCCCGCGAGGCCCTGCTTCTCACTAACCATTCTATTGGGCCCGATCTCGCTTTTTCTCCCCTCATTTACATACAAGTAGGTACCCCCAACTTTGCCTCATTTTAATTATTAAAAAAATAATAAGATTAACAATGAGAAATGTTACGGTCATGTTACGGAACTATTTCGTCGTAGTTTGTAATCGTTAGATCAATTATCCCTGATGGTTACATAATGATCTAATTACAGTTACAAACCTCGACTGTAACATGTCCAAATAATAATAATAATAATAATAATAATAAATAAGATAGCTAGTTATGTGATGTAGGTGGTAAGTATGAGTACACGAATTGCCTTTAATAAAGCCAGCTAACATAGAAAATGAATATAAATGGCATGATATGGACTACTTGGGGTTAATGTGCAATTAAAGTATTTTTAATGGAAATAACTAAGACTATAGACCCTAATTAATGAAAATGAAAATAGATATATATATCCGTCCAAATTTTAACAGTCAAATTAGCCACCGTTTAAGTTGAAACGGCAACTATAAATGTTATGGACCCAACACCACCTACACATTGTACTGCCAAAACACATTGAATTTTGCAACTTCACATGTAGTTCTATATTTTATAATATCATTAAATATGCACCATCCAAATTTATGCTATTGACGAGCGTAAAACTTTTAACTCAAAGTTGCATATTATTGTAGCTATTATTGGAACTGAGTAGACATGGTAATGGACCAAGCTCTTGTCGGTTCGGCCCGAAATGGCACAATTGGCCCGTTGACCATGAGTTTTGACCAGTCCTGTTCATGTTCAATACTTTATAGATTATACATTTTGAACCGGTGATTTCGTTTCGAATTGGAACCGGAGATTCGTCCTTTTTAAAAAAAAATATATATATATTTTTTAATTATATTTGTTTCTCTTAATGAAACGGACGGTCAAAAATCGAAAATTCAATGAACCGGCCAGTGAATATGTTGGGGCTAACGATTTCAACCCGCAACCGGTTTTGTCATGACTAGAACCGAATTACTATTGACATATTTCGGTTCGAATTGTGAAAACTCAATCTCGACCCGTTTATACATTTAAATAAGTCAAACTCAAATAGCTAATCGAACTTGTCGATCAAACAACTAGAGTCGAATCAACTCTGTAAGATTTTTTTTTCTTTTTTTTGTCTACGAAATGAGGTCAAATTTATTATTGGAGGTGAATTCAACAAAAACGAACTAAAATGGCTAACAAATTGTTGAAATCCGACAAGCAATACATAGTTGAAATCCGAAAATAAAAATGAACAACTCGCATAGACTCAGTATTTCCAAGATTACAAGAGCTACAAGCATGCTAATCAGGTAATTCTAAAACCAATGAGCAACTAACACATATATCCACAACTTTCATGTTGATCACTTAAGCCAACAATAGCTTTAAAATTGAGTTTAAGCATAAAACACTTAGGTCAAGAAATCTGCCAACGCAACTTTTATCAATTACAGCAGGTCACTAAAACAGAGATATCTCATGCCACAAAAATCTAAATCATGCAAACTCAAAACCTACAGAAACTACACTTGAATTTCTACAAGTTCCAAGAAGAGAATTTCTACAAATAACCACGTTAAGGGCCACATTTCAGAGCATAAATTTCAATCGTAAACACAGCCATTGTTTTAAAAATCTGGGCATAACCCCAACTTTGAAAAATTATATAACATCAACCAGAACTCCAACTAACATGATTTCAACTCTCAGAGAAATCTTATAACATATACTATAAGTTTTATGTTGATCATATTTTTACATAGTCACATTAAGATTGTCAAAACCTGCCCAAATCATGATTCTCAATTCTGCCCGGAATTTCAAAAATTGCTTGCAGTTTTAACTTTAAAAATTCATAATAAATTCAATTCAACTCTGAATCATTAAATTCCAAAACTCACAGAAACCTAACACAAAGCAATACAAAATTCATGAAGAACACTTTTCAGTTTGAGCATATTACGATATAGCAACTGGGTTAAACATCTAACCTAACATGCTGCCGGGTTTTCTAAAAAAACTGTACGCGCGATATTTTTGTAAAAATCATAAATTATTCATTCAAATCGAAATCACATGATTCCAAAGCCCAGAGAAAGCCAACAAAACGAACTTTATTTCATAAGAAGAACCCAACATCAGATAACGAGTTTCTAAGGACCAAAACAGAGGCACAACAGAGTAGCTATAATACCGTAATTCATGAATTTCATTCCATCAATCCCTAGACATGCTTATCAATACATAACTTCTTCAAAACAGCATCTTGGTCACATATGACTCATTAGCACATACAAACAATGGAGTAGGGTTCCACCATTAGCATGTCTTAACACAAATTCAACATAATATTTCATCAAGCACAAAATTATCCCACATAAACAACTAAATTCTAACCTAGCTTGCATATACTATCAACACTTCAACATCTCATGAAATAGCATGTCAAAATAGAAGGGTTCAAGCCTTATACCTCCTTCGAGAATAAACCAAAAGCTGAGGGATCGAATAGACGAAGTCTCGGACATGAAATCGCCCTCGGCTCATCTCGAATAAGGCTCTCGACGATCTCTTCCGGCAAAATGCCCGCAACTCATTTCGAATGGGGCCCGAAAGAGCTGCTACTCGAAACCTCCCATTGGTGCCGACGAGGGCTGGTGTGCTCGCAGCGAACGTAAGGACCCAGGCGGTGATTGCGATGGCGTCCACGGGTAGCGGGCAGGACCTGAACGTGTGCACATGTGAAATCGTGACGGTGAACGGCACGCTGGGGTGCTGGAACTCAACGATGGCGATGGTCTTGCGAGTGAGACCAGATCACATCGGGGCTCGCAGACGGGGCTGGGACTTCGCCGATGGGTCAGCGGTGACAACGAAAGCAGCGACGTGGGATGATGTCCGCTGGGATGTCGCGACAGTGGTGAGGGGCGGCGCACTGGTCCTCGCGACAAGGGTGCGCGACTGAACACGAAAGCGATGATGGCCTACTGGGACGCGAGAGGGCAACGACGGAGGGCCTATGTGCGAGGACTTGCGTTACTAAGATGATGATGGATGATGGTGGTGACTGCGATTAACGCGCGAGAGAGAGAGAGAAGGAGAAGGCGATAGAGATATTTGGAGAGGAGTTCGATGGAGATGATGGAATGATCGACCAATAGAAAATCTCCTTCAGAAGAGTTGGGAGCGAGCAGATTTTATTTCTCTGCTAGGGTCTGCGGGCCTAATTTATACCTAGAAGGAAAAGCATAATCTCATATATAATTAAATTTAGATTAGGGTTAAAAACTTCCCAAAAACTTGGTCATCAAGCTAAACCGAAAAGGAAGGAAACCGGGTCGGGCTGGAACGTGGTTCGGGCGTGGCCAAGAGCACGGAGACCGGGTCGGTTCGATAAAAGAAATATGATAGACGAGGCCCGAATAAGGACGATTGACAATAAAAATAAAACCGGATAAATAATATATCTATATATAACACACATTTTAATATTATTACTAATACGCAATTAAACACATTATAATTAAATATATTACACATAATAATATTTACAAATAGTACACATTAATCACATAAAATTCCTTAGCCAAATTAGACATTTAAATAAATATTAATAATACTAATGACAATCCAATAACCATTAAAGGCAATTAGGCATTTAAATAATAATAATAATAGACAATAAATGATAAATAACCCAAATATTCCATATTCAAACGGATTATATTCGGTTCACGCGATTAAACTGAAATCGACTAACGACGAACGTTTTTCAATAAAACGATCGAGTAATCCAAACTTTTATTTAAGTCGACATCGCGACTAATAAAATAAATATAATCTTAAAAAATAATATTCGATAAATAGAATATTCCGCAAAAATTCTATAAATCGAACGGGGCGTTACACTGAGGGACTTTGATTTTCTGGGGGACGGGCTCTTGCAAGATGTAAGGGGAGAGAGGCGAGGCATGATCCACGATCCGAGGAGTCCGTCGTGAGAAGGGAGGCGGTGGAAAGAGCGGAGGTGATGGTTCGCTCTGAGAGTGATGCCGGCCCTCTAGTTCGGCAATTCTGCGCTTAACGGCAGCGACTTCGTCCGTGTCGCGCCCAATGGTTTTCCCCCGCTCGATGACCTCCCTGAGGTCCCGATTAGCCTTGCTTTTGTCGCCTAGACGTTGGTAAATGGAGCGGCGAATAACCTGCAGACTTCGGTCTGGCTGGCTTTCGCCGGTCTGTTCGGTGGGCGCTGGTCCTGCATCCTTCTCGCGCCGTTCTAGGGCGGCTCGGTTGGCTGACTGGGCCGTCGTCTTGGATTTTGCGAGTTTTTTCTTTTTCTGTCCCTCCGCCTCCTTGGCGGGGGTTTGTAGCAGCGTGTTGCCGGGGTTTTCCGTGGCTGCTACGGTGTTGCCTCCAGCCGTTTGACCGGCGAGCGCCATTGCGAAGACCCCCTCGAGGGCCATGAGGACGTCGGGATGTTGCATGGCCGCAGCGAAAGTCGGGACTGGAGGAGCAGGGGCTTGAGTCCCCTATTGGACACGGCGGGAGGTCTCCTCGCCATTGCGCCGGCGAGACTGGGCGCCGGACTGCTGAGTTGACTCGTCGCGAGTGGATGAAGTCATCTTGGGTTAAGTTTCAGAGTGGAGATGATCAGGAATGGAAGAAATGTGATGTAGTGTTAATCACAAGGTCGAAATGTTGACACCAAGTAACTTATGGTGCCCTCCTTCTAGCGCCAAACTGTTGATATCGAAAATCAGACGATCAACTATTACATAAGAGTTGAATCTCTTGTATGGAAGATGAAGAAAAATTGATAAAAATGGTGTTTCCTCTTTATTATTTTGAGAGGATTTTCCTCTCTTTCTTGTGTTGTTGGGGGAGAGAAAATGGAAGAAGGCCTCCTCTCTCTCTCTTTCTTTTTTCCTTTATATACATAGCCTTTTCTTTACAAGTGGGATAATAATAAAAATAGTACATAATTATTTAATGCAAAGTAGCAACCGGAGGGCCCACTTATGTCCTTTGACGGCCTGGATCGACGTATGTCTCCTCGGAAATTATGGTATCTAATGGAGGCGGATTTGAGTAGTCCTCAGCTCGGTAGCTGGCGGACACGACATTTGGGAACCCGGTGGGTTTTTAGATGATCAATCTTACGTACCTGTTTGTATATTTATTTATAGATTAAAATACATTTTTCGTCCTGTATGTTTACCCTTCAAAACATTTTAGCCCTCTTCGATTTGCGTTTTTGATTTTCGTCCCGTATGTTTGAAAAAAGGTTACAGAAAGGTTCTTTTTGCAATAAAAAGGTCCTTTAGGTTTTGCAATAAGGTGTTCCAATTTCATCCCTTATGTATGAAAAAGATCTTTTTGTAACCTTTTTTCAAACATACGGGACGAAAATCAAAAACGCAATTCGAAGAGGACTAAAATGTTTAGAGGGGTAAACATACAGGACGAAAAATGCATTTCTCTTATTTATAATATATTTTTATTTAATTAATTGGAGCCAAATTGGGTATCAACATACTATTTATAATTACCATTATATGTTTATTATATACATTTTGAGAATTTTCACGATGATGTATCATACTGCTGAATTTATATTTTATTATTAGGTCTTTGTATAATGTGTTTCTTATTTGCTCTTCTGTACGTTGTGGAGAATTAATGATTGTATATGTAATTTTCTCGAATCTAAGCATTGATGTTTTATTTTATAGTTATCATAGCAAATTTGGTAAAACTCGAGTTTGAGGCACTTGACGTATCTGGAAAAAATTATATTTCATGGACATTGGATGTTGAAATTCATTTAGATGCCATGAGATTGGAAAAAACAATAATTTCCCAATCTACTATTTTGATGTTTTATTTTAGATGCTGAAATTCATTTAGATGCTGAAATACATCTAATATTTTGATGTTTTATTTTATAGTTATCAGGAGCCATGATTTTTATAAGGCATCATATGAATGAGGGATTGAAAAATGAATACTGAACTATCAATGATCCAGCAGATCTTTGGAAAGCATTGAAAGACAGAATATGATCATCAAAAAAAGTTATTCTCCCCCGGGCACGTCATGAATGGATGCCGTTACATTTCCAAGATTTTAAAACAGTAAGCGAATTTCGAATTTGCTTAGTGCTGAAATTATGTGGAGAAACGATAACTGGCTATGATATGTTGGAAAAAAAACATTGTCCACATTCCATGCATCCATGGTACATTTGCAAAAACAATATCGAGCAAAAGGCTTTGAGAAATATTATGAGCTAATTTCTTGTTTGTTGCTGGCTGAACAAAATAATCAGCTTTTGATGAAAAATCATGAATCTAGACCCACGGGGTCTACTGCGGTCCCTGAGGTAAATGCTGTAATACCTAAACAGGAACCCAGAAATGAAAACAACCATAATTATGGACGTGGATATAACTCAGGTCGTGGTCGTGGTCGTGGACGGGGCCGAAATTTTTACCCAGGATATAAATCTGGCCGAGGTTATTATCGTGGAGATGGAAAAAACGATGCCCAAAATTATGAAAAGGGGAGAAATTTTCAGAAACATTCTGAAAATAATAAAGGGGAAGAAAGAGTTGTGAAAAATAATGATGAAAAAACATGTTATCGATGTGGTAGAAATAACCATTGGGCTCGAAATTGGCGAGCCCCAAGGCAAGTGGTTGAAAGATACCAGGATTCCCAAAAATCAAAAGAGAAACATATTGAAACTAATTTTATGGTGGGGGAATCTTCCAGAAATAATACATGCAGATGATAATTATAATTTCGATGACATGCTGAGAATGGGTTGATGATGTATTGTTTGGGGAAGCAACTACAAATAATGAAGAATAAATTATTATCATGTTTGTTTTATGTATTTAGTGTGATTGTAATATTGTTTGGAACATTGTTATATGTATTTGGAAATTGATCAATAATATTTTTTATTTTTTTGTTTTATATCATGGAACAATCACGAATCCAAAATGGAGATATATGTCTTGCAGATTGTGCCATTACCTACACTATACTTAAAGACATAAAATATTTTGTTCAATTAGAAGTAAATAAAACGAAAGTGCACACATTATCTGGAAGTGCAAAAATAATTGAGGGGTCTGGAAAGGCCATATTTTATGATGGGTGGTACAAAATTTATAGTGAATGATGCATTATTCTCCCAAAAATCAACAAGAAACTTGTTGAGTTTAAAGATATCAGAATGAATGGATATTACATTGAAACAATGAATAAAGGGTGAGCTGAATATCTTTGCATTACCTCAAATGTTGCGGTAAACAAATGTGTTTTGGAGAAGCTATCCGCTTTACCATCAGGTTTATATTATACCCGCATTAATATAATCGAGGTTTATGCTGCAGCCAATTCAAAGTCGAAAGGAATGTTTAAACTTTGGCATGATCGACTTGGCCAACCTGGCTCGATAATGATGAGAAGAATTATTGAAAATTCTAATGGTCTTCCTTTAAAAAATCAGAGGATATTGCAAACGCATGAATTGACATGTGCCTCATGTTCTCAAGAGAAATTGATAATGAGACCATCATATACTAAAGTCGGACATGAATCACCATTATTTTTGGAAAGGATTCATGGTGATATATGTGGACCTATTCATCCACCTTGTGGTCCATTCAGATATTTTATGGTGTTAATTGATGCCTCTAATAGATGGTCTCACCTGAGTTTGTTATCCACTAGAAATGTGACATTTGCTAAATTTCTTGCCCAACTTATTAAATTAAGGGTTCAATCCCCAGATTATATTATCAAAAGAGCCAGACATGACAATGTTGGAGAGTTTACATCTCAAGCATTTAATGATTATTGTATGGCAGTGGGAATTGATGTTGAACATCCTGTGGCACATGTTCACGCTCAAAATGGTCTAGCAGAATCATTGATTAAACGACTGCAGCTTATAGCTAGACCATTGATAATGAGGACAAAACTCCCCACTTCAGTGTGGGGACATGTCATTCTGCATGCAGATAATCTAATTCGAATAAGACCAAGTGCATACCATACATACTCGCCATTACAGTTGGCATATGGTCGAGAACCAAATATTGCACATATAAGAGTTTCTGGTTGTGCAGTGTATGTACCAATTGCTCCACCCCAACGTAAGAAAATGGGGCCTCAAAGAAGGTTGGGAATATATGTTGGATATGAATCTCCATCAATAATCAAATACCTTGAGTTAAAAACAAGTGATGTTTTTACAGCTCAGTTTGATGATTGTCATTTTAATGAAGAATTGTTTCCCCCCTTAGGTGGGAATGAAAAGTCAATTGAGAGAAATATTGAATGGAGAACATCATCACTATCATATCTTGATCCTCCCACCAAACAAAGAGAGCAAGAAGTTCAAAAGATCATATATTTGCAGAATATTGCAAATCAATTGTCAGATGCATTTACTGATTTAAAAAGGGTGACCAAATCACATGTGACAGCCGTAAATGCCCCTACTCGAATTGAGATTCCAAAAGAAATGACAAATGACGATATGCCAAATGAGTCAAAGATACGCTTGAAACGAGGAAGACCAGTTGGGTCTAAAGATAAGAATCCTCGAAAGAAAAGAGAAATTCATGACTCGAATTTGAAAAAGAATCAAGATGATGGAAAAATTTTGGGACGAAATGAAAATATTGAAATTTTCATCAATTACATAAACAATGGGAATCTTTGGAAGCGTGATGAGATCATAAAATATTGATGATGCATTTGTATATATGGTATCGAAATAAATTGATAATGAAGTTGAGGATCCTGAACCAAAATCTGTAGCTGAATATCATAACAGACGTGATTCGGATAAATAGAAAGGCGCCATTCAAGCCGAGTTAGATTCACTCAATAAAAGAAAAGTTGGGCCTATTTCCATTATACCAAAAGGCATAAAACCTATTGGATACAAATGGGTTTTCACCAGAAAAAGAAATGAGAACAATGAGATCACGAGATAAAAAGCTCGCCTTGTTGCACAGTGATTCTCCCAAAGGCCTGGGATCGATTATGATGAAACATATTCCACCGTCACGGATGTAGTTAATTTCAGATACTTGATCAGTTTAGCTATCCATGAAAATCTTGAGATGCGTCTCATGGATGTTGTGACTGCTTACTTGTATGGATCATTAGACACCGACATGTACATGAAAAACCCATAAGGAATCAGAATGCCCGAAGCACTAAACTCCAAACCTAAAGAGTTATGTGCGTTAAAGTTGCAAAGATCATTATATGGCTTGAAATAATCTGGGCGTATGTGGTATAATTATTTGAGTGAACAATTACTAAAAAGGGAATACTTGAATGATCAAATATGTCTGTGTGTCTTTATAAAGAAATCACATGATGGAGTTGTGATAATTGCTATCTATGTTGATGATGTTAATATTATTGGGACAGCAAATGAAATTTGAGAAGTAGTCACTTTTCTTAAAGGCGAATTTGAAATGAAAGATCTCGAAAAAAACTAAATATTGCCTTGGCTTACAGATAGAGAGAGAGTACAAAATGGGATACTTGTCCATCAATCTAACTATACTAAAAGAGTACTCAAACAATTTAATATGGACAAAGCTAATCCCCTTAGTACTTCTATGGTTAACCAAACATTGGATGTTGAAAAGATCCATTTCGACCTTGTGAAGAAAATGAAGAAAAACTTGGTCCTGAGGTAACATATATGAGTGTAATAGGGGCAGTATCTTGCTAATTACACCAGACAAGATATATATTTTACTACCAACTCATTAGCAAGATATAACTCGTCACCTACGAGGAGACACTGGAATAAAATCAAGCATATATACCGATCTCTCCAAGGAACAATCGATCTGGGATTATTTTACTCAAATGATAAAAAAACATGAAATGATTGGTTTTGCAGATGCAGGATATAAGTGTTTTGATTATTAAACATCCTGAAAACCCTCAGAACATAAAACCCTCGCTTTCTCCCTCATCGTCTCCCGTCCAATTTGACGCCGCTGACCTTTCTCAGCGGGCATCGACCCTAGCCGGCGGTCGTGGGCCCCTACTCGCTTGGATCCTGCCCCCTTTTTTCTGCTTCATCTTCCGATTCCAACGGATCGGGACCTCGAAGGGCGTGGATGGATGGCGTCATTCCGGCGCCGATTTGCATTTTTCGGTAAGGTTTCTCTCTGTTGTTCGCTGGTGGAGCCGTGGTGCGTTTCCTGGGGCGGAACACTCTCGATTGCTCGGCGTCTCGTTGTGCTGGGTAACCGGGGCGGAGAGGGTGCTCAAGACCATCCCCTTATACTCAGTTTTCGGGTCAATGGGGGCCGTCGCGTCAATTCTTCCTCCAGTGGTGTTGGTCAAGGGGTTGCTGCGGTGGTGTCGTGGTTGTTGGGTAGCTTCCAGGCGATTTGGGGTCGGGGCTAGGGTCGTGGCTTTCTTTTGTCTGTTCTGGGCAACTGGGTGTTGTGACCGTGGTGCGGGTTGGCCTGTTGCGGTTCCGGGTGGAGGTTTCGTCTCCGTTAGGAAACCGAGTGGTTTTGGCAATTTCGGGGTCGGACTTCTGGCTACGGGATTCATGGACAACTTGTTTCTGCCGATTTGGTTAGGTGTTGCTGTTGAGGAAGAGCGTTTTTCTTTGTTCTTAGTAGTATTATTACTCGTTTTGTGTTTTTTTAGTTTTCCGTCGTGTTTGCTCTTGTTTGTTTTGTCCGTGTCGTGTGTTTTTGGTTTGGGTCGTCGGCCCCTGTGAGCCCGAGTGTCAATTTGTTCGCCCGAGTGTCATTTTATTACCCTGTTGGGGTCCGACACTTGGGTATTACTCTGTTGGGGTCCGACACTCGGGTAGTTGTTTTAGTTTTTTAGTTGTTTGTGTTGCTGGTTAGTTTAGTTCTGTGTTTTTTTTTCTAGCTTTGCTAGCGGGATTCAAGGCAGTCTATTGACCTGTCTTTCCACTTTATTCTCCCATTGAGAGATTTGTATCTTTATTCGCACTTTGTGCGCTTTTGATTTATAATAGTTCCTCTGTCGTTTTGGATAAAAAAAAAAAATGCAGGATATTTATCAGACCCACATGCGAGATCTTAGACTGGCTACGTTTTCACTATTGGTGGAACTGCATTTTCTTGGCGTTCTCAGAAACAAACACTAGTTGCTAAATCTTCAAACCATGCTGAAATCATTGCACTGCATGAAACAACTAGAGAAAGCATCTGGCTCAGAAATATGACTCAACACATTCAACAAGCCAGTGGATTATCGAATAATAAAGACCCGACGGTGATATTCGAAGACAATGCAGCATGTGTCGCTTAGATCAAAGAATGATACATCAAGAGTGACAGAACTAAATATATCCCACCAAAGTTCTTCTCATGCACTCAAGAGCTTGAAAGGAACGAACAGATCAAGATTCAAAATATCCGATCAAGTGATAACGCTGCAGATTTATTTACAAAGGCACTCTCAACTAAAACATTTCAAAAGCATGTCCATAACATTGGAAGACGTCTTCGAGTTTTGCACGGATGATAACTAGAGGGGGAGCATGTGCGGTTGTACTTTTTTTTTCTTATCTCGGTTTTTTTCCCACAGGGTTTTTCCAAATAAGGTTTTTAATGAGGCAGCATAAACGCACATTGCATAGTGGTTATTCCAAGGGGGAGTGCTATAATATTAGCAAGTGGAATGAACCACTATGCACCAATAGTGACATTTCACTATTTGTAGGGATGTGAATAGTATATATGGTATGGGTATGAATTATTTGTGTGTATTAGTGTCGGTAGAATTTGCCTATAAAAGGCAATGCATGTGTATTGAAAGATTGCACATATTGAGAAAAAAGAAGAAAAAAAAATGAGTATAATTTCTATCCAGTTTCCATTTTGTATTCTTTATCTTTCCCGTTTTTATAATAATCTTTTATTTTTTGGTTCCTTTGTTTAATCAAATTGCCACATCTAATATTTGCCAATAGTATGTGTAATGACATATAAAGCACATACACGTAGGGTGTATTCGTTTGCCATTTTTAATGAATTTTAAAATTTGACTAATCCTTTAAACTTTTAAAAGTCTCGAGATATTCATTTTAGATTTTAAAAAGTCTTACAAAATTTTGAACTATTTATGACATTTGTTAGGACTTTTTAAGATGCACGTAGAATTCAAAAGAACAAACCATATACGAAATTCAACTTCAAACTCACCTCCAGACTTAGGATTTCATAAGATTCTTCCTAAATCAAAAAATCTAAAAAAATCTCAAATCTCGAAGTCTTAAAATGTTACTCAAAATCTCTAACGAATACACCTTCATCATATCTATATCAATCAATATCGCTTGTCAGCCTGAATTTTAATAGATAAAAAAAAAAAATTGATAATAGAGCATCAAACAACCGTTGATTGATCAATGTACATTTATTAGCTTAGATTAGGTAGGAGAATTCATATCTAAACATCTTAGATATGCACTCTCTCCTCCTATTTTAAGCCCATTTTTGTATGCACTTTCCTCACCATACTTGCATACATAATATAGCCTTTACTCTCAGCATCTTTAAAAGGCCAAAAGGTCACCTAATTCACACACACACGCACGCACACGCATCCCATGGAGGAAAAGGGCCTTATCTACGATGTGAAGCTGTCGTCGATCGGGCCGGGCAACGTGACGGGCCCCGACTCGATCTTCGAGCCCGGGAGCATGGGCCTGGCCATGAAGCTCCACTACCTGAGGGGCGTGTACTACTTGGAGAGGCCTGCGTTCGAGGGGCTGAGCACGCTGGAGATCAAGGAGCCCATGTTCACGTGGCTCAATCAGTACCCGCCCACGTGCGGCCGCTTCAGGAGGGCCGAATCGGGCCGGCCCTATGTCAAGTGCAACGACTGTGGCGTCAGGTTCGTCGAGGCCAAGTGCGGGCAGACCATGGCCGAGTGGCTCGAAGCCCAAGATCTCACGGCCCGCGAGGCCCTGCTTCTCACTAACCACTCTATTGGGCCCGATCTCGCTTTTTCTCCCCTCATTTACATACAAGTAGGTACCCCCAACTTTGCCTCATTTTATAATTATTAAAAAAAAAAAAGCAGCAGCAGGATAATAATAATAATAATAATGGAAAATGCTATGATCCCGTTACGGAATATTTCGTCGTGATTTGTAATCATTAGATCAACTATCATTGACGGTTACATGATGATCTAATTATGGTTACAAATCTCGACGAAATGGTTTCACAACGAGACTGTAACATCTCCCAATAATAATAATAACTAGTATTCAGCCCTGTGCATTTGCACAGATGTAAATAAAGTGTTGTGAGTTATTTGTATGCATATAATGATTAATTATTTTTCTTTCACCTTTTTAGTGGCCAAATTTACAATTAAAGGAGTTGGAATATTTATTTTTTTAAATTGTATTTATCTTATTGGATGTAATATTATTTTGGTACATCTTTTTTTGTGAATTATTTATTATATTTAGCAATTTCAAGTACGTTTTTTTTTTTAAATTAATTTAAATGTAACCACATCAATAACATCTAATCACATTATATG